GGTGACGGTGTGTCTCTCTAACCCCTAAGAAAGAAGTAAATGACTCAAAGAGTCAAGAGAATATGTGCCAAAATGAAGCAAATGAAGTGCTTAAGGGAAGATGAAACCTTCTTAGACCAAATATATCCTACCCTGAACCAAAAGCCTTCATTGTATTCCCACAAAAGCCCTATATGATCTTGAGTTGAGTGAAGCTTACATTAGTGGTGACTCACATAAGGGGCAAGCTTATGGTACTTAGAGTCAGACTTGTGACCTTTCTTTGAGAGAGATGAGTATGTTTTCCACAATCCTCGTTTTGAGTGATTCAATCTAAAAGTGAGGATTTGCTTAAGGAAGAGTGAGTAGTATAAGTTTGGATTCCACAATGACCAAAGTAGTAGAAAGAGTTTCCTTGATGAGTTGAGTCAACTCTTGATGTTTTTGTGTCGCACTAAAACCACGGTGCTTAAAAAGGTTGAATGTTGTTAATGATTCATTTGAATTGAGGGCATTTGTTAGTCCCTATTGATGCTAGATGAGGTCACTTTAGGTCAGCTGAATTTTCTTGGTTTTATTCTTAAGGAGGTGGGACTTACTTTGTTTGCCTGAGGACAAGCAAAAGCTTAAGTTTGGGGGAGTTGATAACTAGGGATTCTAGTCTATTTTATATTCCTTTTTGCTTGAGTTTTGGATTAAAAGTGTATACAAGTAATCCTGAAAGCTTACATGTTGTGCTTGTTTGCAGTGTTTGGTCAAAAAGTGACAAGGAAGTCAAAACCAGCTCAAAAAGGAGTGAAACCTGCACAAGTACCAAGAACCAATCAAAGCACCGCTACAGCAGTAAATCCACCGCGGCTGTAATAGACCCACCGCGACCACGCTTTTTTTATCGCGGTCCGCGGAGGCAAAGACCAGAGAAGATGCAATCCTGGAATTTCAAGCAACGTGGCCCGTCGTTGATTCTTTGCGGCCGCGGTAGCCTCATCGCGGTCGCGGTCCATTTTTTGCGGTCCGCGGAGAATAGATTCAGAGAGCATGAAGTTTGGAAGTTTCAAGACACCGCTGACCGTGATTGATTTTATGCGGCAGCGGTGAAGCCATCGCGGCCGCGGTCTATTTATTGCGGTCCGCGGTGGCCAGATTCATAGAACAAGATTTGAAGCCAAAAAGCCTACCGCGGCTGCAATCCATTTTCCGCGGTCCGCGGTACCTCCTTCAAGGGCATTTTTGTCCAGCGAAATAGCTAGTATGAACTAAATGAAGTGGCCGGAAATTTCTTTTTGTTCATGATAATTGTGGCCCTCTCTGTAGCTGTTGTACGAGGATTCAGTTCAAGAATCAAGTATGGGATTTTACTCGTCGACACTAATATTAATCCCATTTAGTTTTGAACTTTGGTCAAAGCGGTCCTTAGTAAACAAACGTTCCAAAACAATACTGAAAGTGAATTGCAGCAATTACCTAGCTTATGTCAGTATGTGCCAAATCGGATTTGCTGCCGTCTTGGTTTGGATTAATTTTGAAATAAAATCAAAAACCCATTTCGGGTTTTCATGTTCACAGATCTGAATATTTAATAGATGTTCAGTGATTTATTGTTTAAATCTTCTAAAAATCATTTATTTGTGTTAGATTCGGAGTTTAACACTTATTTCATCAAGATTTAAGAGAAGAAAACTTGAAAAGTCCATTTCTAAATAGTGAAAAGAGTTGAAGAACTCTTCAAGTTCTTCAAAATCTGGAAAAGTCCTTGTTATTCGTTTAGCTCATCTGAAATGGAGTCTCTAGGGTTTTAACTTGGTGTGATTAATTAATGACATGGCAGCTGACATGGATAAAATTGATGTGGTCAGCTTCCACAGTGTCAAAACGTTAGGGTTAGGGGTAATTTTTTCAAACTTCATTAACAGCAGGGACAATAATGGCCGAAAAGTCTAACGGGTGGAACAAGTAACCAATAAACAATAGTAGAGGGGCAATTTTGACCTTTGCCCCTTCTTTTTTAGATTTTTAGGTCATCTTATTTGTAATTGAGCACGTGAACGCTGTTTTTTAGCTATTTTGAGTAATTGTGTAGCTAGTTTAACATTGAATCTTCAAATCTTAGCTTGTAATTATATTTTATGGGTTATTCTTCATCTCAATATCTGATTTCTTCCAATATTATGAGTAGTTAGACCCATTAGCTTAGATTGTGGCTCAACCCTAGTGTGGGTATTTGATGGGTCTCTTGTTTTAGGGCTTAGATGTTTATGGATGGTTGATATTTGGCTTGATTTGTATTTTCCATATTGAATTAGTGGTTGCAAACACTAATTTGTGCCTTTTTGACTTGGGCTCTTCTTGAGAAAGAGAGCTTGAGTTTAGGAAAATCAGGCCAACAAGGAATTGAGGCGTATTCAAGAGATTGATAGCCCCAATTAAAGGGCTAAACCTAGAGATAGTAATACCCGACTTGAGCCTATATTGCTTGCACAATTTTGACACCCAATTGGTCTTGAGAAAGCCAATTAGGGCAAAGTCACTAAAGCTACCGAGAGGCATAGAGTGAGTAGTTTCGTGCATTGGCTATATCACAATCCCAAACATAAAAACTTTGCCTTAGGCTTTAGAACCCGTCAAGTATTCACCTAGGGGAAAGTCACTTCCCTAGTGCCTTTCCATAAATTAAGAAAACCTCACAAAAAGATATCATACTTAGCTTAATTTCAGTATCATTAGTGATAATCCAGATTAGTGAACCATCAACACATGTTTAAAAGTGTAAACAATTACTTTGCACGTTACTAGTGTAGATAGGAACCCAATTCCCAAACATTCTAGCTCCCTGTGGATACGATCCCGACCTTCTCGGGTAAAAGCTGCATCGACTGCTCTTGCTACTCTGTAGTGGTGTAGGGTTAGACCCGATCACCCACCCCACCCCACCCACCCACCCAAATTTTCCTCAAAAATTCATATTTGGGTGTTAATAATCCATGTAGATTCTTGAAATAATGATAGAAATATGTAGAAATCACTTACCCTAAAGTCTTGTGTGAAGATCCATTTCAAAAATCGCCCCTCTCCAAGTTTAGGGTTCAAAATATAAGATAATGGGTCAAGGTCCCGAAATTCCTTTCTAATAATCAGTTGTAGAAGTCACAAATGCGACCAGGGGTTCGCAATTACGAGCCTCGCAAAACCAAGAAATGGCTCGTAAATACAAACAAGCTCCCTCAGCATCAGTTCTCGCAAATGCGACCGGGAGAATTGCAAATGCAATCAAGTGTCGCAAATGCGATAATCCATTTGCAAATGCAGATGTTGTAATTGCGCACCAGCCTCACACTTGTTAAGCTGGCCTTCACAGTCCATTATCGCAAATGCGATCAAGACTCTACAAATACGGACCTTTGCAATTGCGAGCAGACCATCACAATTGCAATGTCTGCAGCACTAGAAAACCTGAGCTTGCAAAACCACTCCAAAACTCATCCGAAATTCTCCCGAGCACCTCGGGCCCTACACTAAACATCCACACAAGTATATAAACCTCATACGAACTCGCTTGTAAGCTCAAAACATCAAAATAACATCCTTAACCAAGAATCAAACAACAAAATACATCATACAAGCCTCCAAGTTCAAGAACTTCAAATTTCACAACCAAGCGTCTAATTTATACCAAGTCAACTCGGAATGAAACCAAATTTTGCACAAGACCCAAATGACAAAACAATCCTATTTCAAGTTCCGGAACAACAATCTGAACGCAATAGCCTCAAAGTCAACTAACGGTCAAACTTATGAATTTGCCAACTTTCTACAAATAGAGCTAAATCATTCTAGGAACCTCCAAATACAAATCTAGACATACGCCAAGGAATGAAATCACCATATGAACATATTAGAACAATCCAAACATGAATTCGAGGGCGTTTATACAAAAGTCAAGCCTTGGTCAATTCTTACAACCTAAGTTTCCAACAGCGGAACTAAGTGTTCCAATTCACTCCAAAACCTTCCTGAAATCAGACCAAACATCCCCGCAAGTCACAAAATAATACACAAACATACGAGGAGCATCAAATAGGGGAATGGAGCTCAAATTCACAAAATAACCGGCTGGATCGCTATAGTAATATTTAGTCTCTCCTTTCTGACACGAAAAAATACTCGGATAAAAATACCCTTTACTAAAGCATGAAAAAATTCCAGGAACGATTATTGGAGTTTGAACATTTATTAGTTGAAACTCCATGAATTGTTCTTGGAGTTTGAAATGTGGAGATCAAAATCCAGGATTAATTCATGGAATTTCAACATTTATTAGTTCGAAGTCCAGGAATAATTCATGGAGTTCAAACATTCACAAGATAATAATACATTTTGTTTATAGCAAGGCTTGTTCGAACTCCACAACACACATGGGAGTGCAAAAGAGGTACCATGAAAATTATTTCACGTATCGATTTCGCTGATTTTGCTTATTTAATAGTTAGACAATTATTATTATTTTATTCATGATACCTATTTCAAAACTTTATTACGACATACCATGATTTGAAATAACCCTTTAACACTATTTCACCCATGATAACTATTTCAAACTCCATGAAAATTTAAGTTCAAACTCCATATCGTAGAATTTCTTTTAAGAAATTCTGAAATACACTCAATAGTCGTATATCTTAGTTTTGGTATTTCCCATGAAGTGAAAGCAAACGAACGCAAACAATTGCAAAAATGGTAACGTACATTCAGCAGCAAAGACTACTAAGGATCAGAATAGGATTCACTAATCCCCATAAAAATAAAGGAAAAACAAAGGAATGAAGTGAGAAATTAGAATGCAAGAAATAAAGAAAGTAGGTTAAGAAGAAGAAGACGTACATACGTCGAAAAATAGATAGGCACATTGTGGGGTTGTGGAAGAAGAAGAGTTGCAGAAAAGTTGGAGAAGAAGCTTAGTAGAAGGGTTAAAAAAAGTTAAATAAAAGGAGCATACTTTTGCACAACATTTTAAAAATGAGATAAAAGGTAAATACCAGCTTTAGTGGAGTACACCCCCTGCAAATTCTTATAATAAATGTAGCAAAAATTTCAGAACAAAAGTCATTTTATTTGCATAACATAAAAACGTGTGGAAAAGCAGAAAAGGAAATCAGGGAACACAACTAACTCGATCAAATTGCTCAAATATTTAAAAGGGGATGTGGATAGACAATTATCAGCTGAAGATAGGTATCTTGGAGCTTTTCTTGTACAAATAACTGCAGCGTTTTGGCACTCCCTTGTCAATTCGGCAGCGTGCAAGGCATTCTGGATAGCAGCTATTGTGGCCTCACAAATTCAATGAGGTTACGGGATGATTAGACATGAAAACCAAGAGATATTCCTGTAATGTTTCTTAGATTAGGAACTAAAATGAGAGCATCATAATACAAAACACAAATATTGTCTAGTGCAAATCTTTATGTTTTATTTAAGAGTTAGATTGCAGATACTATAAAAACGAGGAAGCTAATATATAGGTGTATGTCCACTTTGGTAAGTTCATATTAAGTAGGGACAAACAAATCGTAGAGTTTCTTTTTTCTCTTGGCTGTGGTACATCTCAACATACCTTATAAGATTAACTTGCACTATAACATCTTATATAGATGACAAATCAATGCAAAAAGTATCTGTGGTGTCAGCAAAGCTTTGCTTGTGATCCCACATATTCAGAAGTTCAGCCAGAGATAATGCCACGCAGATTCTTTAAGCCCCAAAAAAAGGAAGAAAGAAGAAATAAGAAGTGTCCATCTTAAATTTGACAAGACAAATATTTATAGTACATGCATTCAAGTAGTATTTCATTTAAATTTATTAGCTAAAATACGCAATGCAGATACTGTCTCCCAAACACAGCAGCTCCTGTTTGCAAATAACAGAGCATTTATAACCTACCCTAAGAATACAAGTTCTTACCTCATGTTCTGATTCTGACATAAACATAAAAAATAAAACCCAAGGTGCAACCCAGCACTAACGATTACCACATACAGTGACAGCATAACAGAGAAAATGCCAAAGTTATACAGAAGAAAAGTTGCAGGAAAGTATACTGCGGGAGATGTAGGATAATTGCATACCAAAACATGTCTGATCAATGGATTCACTTATTCTTTAATCTGCTGATCCCTTTGAGTCCAATAGCGGAAGAACACGAACTGAATCAGTATCTAAATATGAAATTAAGGAAATTCAATCATAGTAATATATGTTGGAGAAGAAATGATCAACAGGATATGTTGGACAAGAAATTCAATCAAAGGAAATTCAAACTATCCTTTGCACTTTTTAGTAATATATGTTGGACAAGAAATGATCAACATGATAAAATTATATTATAGAAATGAATTGTATATTGAAAGGATACAAATGTGTCAAGAAGTACACATCCTGCTGCATCCACCAGCCATGGTAGGTTTGGTCCAATTTTTGACCAATCTAAGCTGCTAGCAAGTATGCTACAAAAGGGCAGGAAGACTTAGAGAAAAATATGGTGAAAGAAAAAGTTAAGAGAAAGATATGATTCAGTGTGAGTGTGCGACTGAATAATACAAGTTTCAGTCGACTAATATATCCAAAGTGAGAAAGTCAGATGATGTCGGGATCTCCTCACCTTGCTACATATGTAGTATTCCCTAGCAGAGCAAATATGAACATTAGTGGATTAAGACCCTGCAAAGATTCACAGAAAATATTTTCGTAGTGAATATCATATTATTAGAAGAGACAATATCACAATTAGTATTCCTTTTGGTAGTAAATTGGATAATTAAAACAAACCAGGCAAATATAAGGTTACCTCAACATTTCCCCTTCTAATCTGTAAAAGCAAATGGAGGGGGAGAAGGAACAAGAAAAATCAAGTTAGTATTGGACACTAAATTTACAATCCTGGCATCACTCTTATTTATTTCAAATAAGGTCATACATGTATAAGAAAATTTATGAAGGAATTATTTTTCTTGATGACGGCAGCATCAGGGCCAGCTTGTGCGCACCTAACTATTCCATCGAGTACCTGGTAACTCCACCAGCGCAGCACCAGATTACTCTGCTCAAGACTTAAGCAAATGGAAAGAAATCACCTAATGTGTTTTCTCTATGCTAGGATTTGAACTCCAAGGTTTGCACCCATCTCATTGACCACTAGGCCAAATCCTTTGGTGCATTTATGAAGAAATTTAAAGGTTTACCAATTCCATTTCAATTGCATAGGATTGCATAATATTGTTTTAGTTGCATTATGTGATCTGATTGAGTCTAAATGCATTAATAGACAGTTCAGATGTTGTAGTCCTTATCGTCAAGGCATTGGAACAGAATGACCACACTAAAATTATTAAAGATTTTTAGATCACATACATTTAGGCAAATCTGGGGAAGGCGTCCACCCATGTAAATAGCTGCCATTCCCCAGCCAAGGAATGATCCAACTCCGCCGCTATTAGTTGTGGTATTCACCATCAAGGTTATATTCACCTGTGCCGACCAAAAAAAAATATTCACCTGTGACTCCCAATAAAAGTTCCCATCATGAATCACAAAAGAAGAAAGAGACAAATAGGCAAAGTCTTGAGTTTCAAGACTGTAATATTTGAAATGTCAAAATCTGCTTAGGATCAAAGCACAAACCACCTGTTTTTCACTAACTAAAATTGCATGTATTGAACATTCCTTAAATCTGTTTGGACTAAAGTGAATGATACCGAGGACAATATTACAGAATTTCTGGAGTTGGAAGATTAGAAGAACGAAGAAAAAAGTCAGGGATATACTGGAAATACCATTTATTTATGCAATTTAAGGGTTATTTTGGATGGAATAGAACATCATGTGTTTCCAAGGCAGTAATAGACTAGTGCAGTTGAAAAAATTTCGAAGGCAGCAGTAGACTAGTGCAGTTGAAAAGATCATCTTTGTCTTCGTCTTTTGTTATTTTGGTCTACGGATACCCTGATGAGCTTCATTAACTCCCTACACAGTTTAGAAGGATGCTCTTTTCTAAACTTGCCCATAGAGGAACTAAGAAGCACTGTCTTAGTGCTAAATATGGAAGAAGAAATTGAGGCTGATCGTTTCTCAGAAAAGTCGTGCTTAAGCTCATCTTTAATCTTTTTGAAGGAACTTGGAATTCTTTTTTTTACGGAATTTGGATATTTATCCTTGAAGAAGTAACTTAAAACACGGGGAAATTGTTATACAGTAAAACTCACTCCCAAACTTGCATTGGCAAATAACCTGATTCTCAAACTAGTTTGGGTTGTGTGAGTGTATGCACACTAACATAGCGCCCATGAACATGATGCAGAAACCTAAAGTTAGGACAGAACGTAAGGTTAGAATTGATATTGTATGCTGTATTTTCAGAAATGAGGACAATGTTTGGTTTTACTTTTCTATTCAAAGTTGTAATAGTTATACAATGTTTGGTTTACTTTTCTAAGCATGTATAGTTAATCCTTGTATAAAGAGAATACACCAATTTTGGTATAACTTTATAGTTTATACCACTATCAACATGGAATAACTAATTCATGTATAACTTATACATAGATAAAGCATCAAAAGGACAAAATTGTCCTCTTCTTTTTTCTAGAAGCCTATGAAAGTCAAGCATCCAAGGTGTAAACTCATTGCTTTTTAGTTTAAAAAATAAACAAATATTTTAAATGATATCTTCCATATTGTATACGGTAACATCGGAGGGTCCAATTTTCCATCGTTATAATGTCTCGAAGGCTCGAAATCACGGTCGAGTTTCATCCCTCGAGGGCCATCGACGCTCGACCTCGGGGCAGTATGAGACCGACGGTTACGGAAAGAAAGTGGGGAGTTCCCAAGGCATGAAGCTAGAGCCAGCAAAGTCTGTCAAGCTAGTCTGAGCCCGTATCGTGGCATTAACTAGCTATCTCATCTCCATATCTTTGTAATAAATGCACTTGCACTATGTTGGGATTCCCCCTCTTATATAAAGGGGATCCTTGTCATTTTGTAGACATCTGTTGCTCAATACTAAATACACAAGAACATTCTCTCTACTCTCTAACTTATTCTCTTGATCTCGTTATTTCATTTATTGCTCATATTTATTTTGTTCTACTTAAAGTTTATCATTTATTGCTTATTATTGGCCATAAAGAGCCGTCTTTGATTCGTCCATAACAGTTAGTCTCCATCGATCACCCTCAATAGCTCCCAGCCAAGCTTCAGATTCGACCCCGAGGTCCTCGAATACGCAAGCTCGAGGCCCTGATCGGCAGTGATTCGGTTTGATTAACACCTCGTTTTTAAGCTCTTACATTGTTTCTAATCATCCACATAGCATCAACTGCTTAACAACTAGCATAAAAATAGATCACGTATTTTTAGAACCACTAAATCACATATCCAATTTTAGTGCAATGAATCAAACACCCAACAACAAATAATCTTTGCATTACTAATTCATGTAGTATTACTAATCCCTGCATTACTAATTCCTATATTATAATCCCTGTATTGTCTACTGACAAGAAGTTTGTGTTAAAAGAAAGGAAAAAAAACTGGCTTAAGGGTACTTTGGAAACAGCATAATAGTAATTAGCTAAAATTAACCAGTTGCAGAAAAAAAGTGCAAGGAAAGTTGACAAATTTTGGGAAAGATCAAAAGTGAAAAAGTAAGCTAATGCTTATGAAACATTAGAGTATATCATTACCAGGTCATACTAATTTTAATACCTGTTGAAGCTTTCTCCCCACTTGCAATACAATTCCACTTGTTGGTTTCTGTAGTCTCAGGTTATGTTTCATGCTATCTTGTTTTAGAACATTTACAGCAGAAAGGAACCATGTCACAATGGAAACCTGCAAAGGAGAGTAGAATATTAGATGCCCAGAAAGGAGAGAAATATTGCCAGCAATTTGAATATTGTGAGAAAGCACAGGAGAAATTATATTATTGATGTATTAACATATGTTACAATGAGCCCTATATATATACACACATAACATGTCCTACTCCTAATATATATTGGATTAGGGTTATTTATTTACTCCTATTTACATGACTATTCTAACACTCCCCCTCAAGCTGGTGCATATAAATCATATGTACCGAGCTTGTTACATATGTAGTTAATACGAGGACCAGTGAGGGACTTGGTGAAAATATCTGCAAGCTGATCATTCGACTTTACAAACATTGTAGCAATATCTCCCGAGAGTATCTTTTCTCTAACAAAGTGACAGTCAATCTCAATGTGTTTAGTTCTCTCATGGAACACTGGATTTGACGCAATATGAAGAGCAGCTTGATTATCACACACAAGTCCCATCTGACTAATCTCACCAAATTTCAACTCCTTGAGCAACTGTTTGATCCAAATTAGCTCACATGTCGCCATAGCCATCGCTCGATATTCTGCTTCTGCACTAGACCGAGCAACCACATTCTGTTTCTTGCTCTTCCAGGACACCAAATTTCCTCTTACCAAGACACAATATCCAGACGTAGAACGTCTATCAGAAGGTGATCCTGCCCAATCAGCATCTGAGTATCCAACGATCTGCTCATGGCCTCGACCCTCAAACAATAAACCTTTGCCTGGAGTTGATTTTATATACCGAAGAATGCGAACAACTGCATCCCAATGACTATCACACGGAGAATCCATAAACTGGCTCACAACACTCACAGAAAAGGAAATGTCAGGTCTTGTCACTGTAAGGTAATTTAATTTACCAACCAACCGTCTATATCTTGCAGGATCGCTAAGAGGCTCCCCCTGTCCTGGCATAAGTTTAGAATTCGGATCCATCGGAGTGTCAACCGGTCTACAACCTGTCATTCCTGTCTCTTCAAGAATATCTATGGCATACTCTCACACCTGAGCTAGACTGAGCGACCTCAATACCCAGAAAATACTTTAGTTTGCCCAGATCCTTAGTCTGAAAGTGTTGCAAGAGATGTTGCTTCAATTTAGTAATACCATCCTGGTCATTGCCGGTAATAACAATGTCGTCAACATAGACCACCAGATAAATACAGAGACTCGAGGCAGAATGCCGATAGAATACAGAGTGATCAGCTTCACTCTGAATCATGCCAAATTCTCGAATAACTGTGCTGAACTTACCAAACCAGGCTCGAGGAGACTGCTTTAGACCATAAAGTGACCGACGCAAGCGACATACAAGGCCACGAGACTCCCCCTGAGCAACAAACCCAGGTGGTTGCTCCATATAAACTTCATCCTCAAGGTCACCGTGTAAAAAAGCATTCTTAATGTCCAGCTGATAGAGGGGCCAATGGCGAACAGCAGCCATGGATAGAAAAAGGCGGACTGATGCTATCTTAGCCACAGGAGAGAAGGTATCACTGTAATCGAGCCCAAATATCTGAGTATATCCTTTGGCAACAAGACGAGCCTTAAGACGATCAGCCTTACCATCCGGACCAACCTTGACTGCATACACCCAACGACAACCAACAGTAGATTTACCTGAAGGAAGAGGGACGAGCTCCCAAGTACCACTCGTATGTAAAGCAGACATCTCGTCAATCATAGCCTGTCGCCATCCTGGATGAGCAATGCTTCACCTGTAGACTTAGGGATGGAAACAGTATAAAGAAGATAGAAAAGCATAATAGGGTGATGACAAACGATGATAACTCAAACCGACATAATGGGAATTAGGATTAAGGGTGGCCCATATACCTTTCCGAAGTGCAATCGGTTGATTAAGAGGAGACAAGTCCGCAGTATTAGCAGGGTCGAGTGCAGGACATGAATCAGCTGGACCTGATGCTGGGCGCGGACGACGATGATATGTCAAAAGTGGTGTTCCTGTGGCAGGGAGTCTAGGAGACACTAGACTCCTCAACGGTGGGAATGGATAAGACTTCTATAGCGGAAGGTGAAGGAGGAGCTATAGGAGACTCGGGTAAGACTTCTGTGGCGGAAGGTGAAGGAGGTGCTATAGTAGATTCCTTAAAGGTCGGTATAGGTAAGACCTCAGATATATCAAGGGGGTCAGAAAGGTCAGAAGAGGTAAAGAAAGGTTTAGACTCAAAAAATGTGACGTCAGAGGACATAAAGTACCTACGAAGATCAAGTGAGTAACAACGATAGCCCTTCTGAACACGAGAATAACCAAGGAAGACACACTTAAGAGCACGAGGAGCTAACTTATCTTTCCCAGGGGCTAGGTTATGAACGAAACAAGTGCTCCCAAAAACACGAGGGGGAACAGAGTATACGGGTTATTGGGGACACAATACTGCATACGGTATCTGATTCTGGATGGGAGAGGAAGGCATCCGATTAACTAAATAACAAGCTGTGAGAACTGCATCGCCCCAAAAACGCAGCGGAACATGAGATTCAATGAGAAGTGTGCGAGCAGTCTCAATGATGTGCCTATTCTTTCTCTCTGCAACCCCATGCTGAGGGGTATAAGGACAAGAGGTCTGATGAATAATTCCTTGAGAAGTCATAAACTGCTGAAATTGAGAGGATAAATATTCTAAGGCATTATCACTGCGAAAAGTGCGAATGGAAACACCAAATTGATTTTTAATTTCAGCACAAAAATTCTAGAATATAGAAAACAACTCAGAACGATCTTTCATTAAGAAAATCCAAGTACATCTTGAATGATCGTCAATAAAACTAACAAAATAACGAAATCCCAAGGTTGAACTGACTCTACTAGGACCCCATATATCAGAGTGAACTAAAGAAAAAATAGACTCTGCGTGACTCTCAATACTACGAGGATAGGAGGCTCGGGTATGTTTCCCGAGCTGACATGACTCACACTCTAAGGTGGATAAACTAGACAAACCAGGCACCATCTTCTGAAGCTTGGATAAGCTTGGATGTCCTAATAGGTCCGGAGGATCTGTAACTAGACATGCCTTGGAGGATTTTAGGGAGTTAAGGTAGTAAAGCCCTTCTGATTCAAGTCCTGTTCCAATCGTCTGCCCTGTACTGCGGTCCTGCATAATAAAAGAATCATCAATAAAATATATACCACAATGGAGGGCACGAGTCAAACGACTAACAGATGCAAGATTAAAAGGACAGCCAGGGACATAGAGAACGGAACCTGGAGTGACAGAGGGTAGGGGATTCGCTTGTCCAACTCCTTTTGCTTTGGTTTGAGACCCATTGGCTAAAGTAACAGTGGGAAGAGACTGTGAATACGCAATATTTGACAAAAGTGATTTATTACCAGAGATATGATCAGAAGCGGCTGAGTCCACAACCCATTGTCCAGGAGGACTAGACTGGGAAACACAAGCAAAAGAATTACCAGCAACAGAAGTATTAGTCTGAGCAACAGAAGCTACTTGTGGAGATGTCTGCTTACTTGCTCGATACTGAAGGAACTCATTATACTCCCCTTCAGATAAAGAAAATCCCTGGTTACCTGTAGTCTCAGTCTGAGCAACATAAGCATTTTTGGGTGGGTGGCCATGTAAAGAATGGCATACATCACGAGTGTGTCCAAATTTATGACAATAAGAGCACTTGGGTCTAGATCTTCCAAAACAACCTCCTCCTCGTCTATTCTCCATAGTATGAGATGCCCGATTGTCCACTGATTGGGATACGAGGACAGATGAGTCAAGTGTCTGTGATGAGCTCACTGGGTGACTAGGTGCTGCAGGAAGGCGAAGTAATCGAGAGAATAATTCATCAACTGTGGGGACGGTTGGACTAGCCAAAATCTGGTCACGTACTGAATCAAGGTCATTAGGGAGTCCAGCGAGTGTAAGAACTAGAAACATCTTCTGTCGTTGCTCTTGTTGTTTTTCAATACTGGCAGAAACTGGCATCAACGTCTCAAATTCTTCCATGACTGCCTGAACTTGTCCCAAGTAAGTAGACATATCTAATTCCTGTTTCTTCAAGCTTGTCATTCGCGATATTACATCATAGAAACGAGATATGTCATTAGTGTATAGATTACGAGCCTTTTCCCAAACTAAATAACATGTCTGGAATGGACGGAACAAGGGCATCAACTTGGAATCAATAGATCGCCACAGGATACTACATAACTGAGCATCGACCTTCTCCCACTGTGTTTTGGCTTTTTCATCACCTTCGGTAGCCTTTTTTGTTAAATGATCTTGAACTCCTTGACCTTTACACCACAACTCGACAGATGAAGCCCAATCTAAGTAGTTTGAACCTCCCATTAAAGGTTCTGAGGTAATCATAACACCGGAACTGCCAGAACCCGGGTTTCTAGACCCGAAAGCATCGACTCCCAAAGACATGGTTGGATTATCACCAAATAACAAAAAGAATCAACTGAAAATTCTCTGAAACAGATGAAGAAAACATTGTGTTTGCCGGAAAAGTACTGTAGCTGCCGGAAAAATCAGTGTAGTCGCCGGAAAAACTCAAAGTGGTCGGAATCAAACGAAAATAGGATGGGTAGGGTCGGAATTGCTGTGCGACCAGGCTGTCCTGAAGAAGCTCGGCCAAAAAATGGCCGGAAGAGGCCTCACGCGCCGGCGCGTGACGACGGAGACTCGCCGGAAAATATTTTCCGGCGGCGCGTGAGGGCGCGTGGGAGAGGTTCTGCCGGAGAAATTTTTGTGGTTTGGTCGCCGGAAGCTAATCTATCTCGTGGTGGTGTTGGTTTTTGCACAACACCGACGGATATTGATTTTTTTTCTTGCGGACAGTGCTGTTTTGCCGGAAAAAAAAGGTTTTTTTTTTTTTTTCTTCCCGGAGTCGCTGGAATTTATGCACAGCGATAAATATCTCACGATAGCTCTGATACCATGTGAGAAAGCACAGGAGAAATTATATTATTGATGTATTAACATATGTTACAATGAGCCCTATATATATACACACATAACATGTCCTACTCCTAATATATATTGGATTAGGGTTATTTATTTACTCCTATTTACATGACTATTCTAACAAATATCATAGAAAAGCTCACCAAACACAACATGCGTTTTGTGTGTGGTGGAGGTAGAGAATTTGTGGCTCTGATTTCCTCAAGCAATGGCTCCTTAAAATTGAATTCTGCATCCAAAGGAGGGGTTCTGTGCGATGGAAAAGATCCAGCTGTAGGAGTATGACTCATTGATAGAGATCTTGCTGACCTGATAATTCATCAATGAGGGAGCTTCTAATAAAGAGGTATACAAATATATTTTATCATTGTGGGCAACTTAAGTAAAAGTCTGACTGTTATGTGCTTTACTGCTTTAACATAAGTAGGCTATACAAGAATGGAGTTTTAATTGTCAAATATGATGCAGTGCATTGAGAATGATTCAACTGAAAACCAGCAAAGAAGCATCAAATCTCTGTAACTAGGTCGTTTTGGACGAACATGCAAAGTATGTAAAGTCTAGTCACAAGAAACAGTAAGCAATTACTATGTGATTTTTCAAACCGGAGGTTTATGAATTCTTTTGTATCTTCTGAAAGTGGTTATCATATCTTCCTGACATAAGAAAAGAACAAAGGCAGACTTTACATTCTTAATTAAATAGGAAAATATAGTTGGTTGGACTCTATTTGCAACTCAGTTATAAGCTTATCAGGAGCTGTTTTTTGTTTTGGACTCCAAATGTTTCAAAGAAGAGAAACCAACTAAAGAGAATAGCTCTTAAATGTGCTATGGCAATATAATATTCACATTCACATAACAGATCAGGCTGTTTGAAAGGCTTCTGGAGAGCAATCACCCACATGTAGTATAAATCTCCTCCAGAGGACACAATAGGAGTGCGACCTGGAAGAGAAATTGGTGAGCTTTGAGAAAATCCAGATGTCGAAGACACTCTACTGCTTTTTGACTCATCTACTCCATGATTATGCACACTTTTCTTCTCGAAGTCCCCACTCTCACTAACCTTGCATTCACATTGAGAAGACAAGCATCATCCAAAAGTAATCTTAGCATAATCTAAGAACAAAAATATCTCTGCATAGCAGCTACACTAAAGAACAAAAAACATAAATTTAATGCTTATTATAAGGTTATTCCAAAAGTTCCAAGAATCAAAACTCAGACAAAAGGTTAACTTGTAAAACTAGTATTTAGTCAGTTAGCTATGATTGGATATTTAGCTGAAATAAGCCTCAAAACTGCACTCATATATCTCTTTGAGTAAGTGCACTAGTAGTCGGAAACAGTCTCTCTGCCCTTCCAGGGTAAGGGGTAAGGCTGCGTACATCCTACCCTTCCCAGACCCCACTTGTGGGATTATACTGGGTTGTTGTTGTTGTAAGTGCACTAGTAGCCCATGAACTTTAACTGGCAAACACTCTAACCCTTTAACTATTTTTAGGAGCAAAATTGACCTTCAACATAGTCCGAACACTTACATTAGATTCAATAAAAATTATCTAATATAGAGAATTATTTAAAGGCATTTAAGAATTTAATAAGATGTTGATAAAATTTCTTGCATTTCCTTGAATTCAACATGCTTTAAAACATACTTAGCAAAAAGATAAGATTTATTCTCTTCATCTTATTTAGTTTGCATCCAAAACATTCTTAAATTAACAATTCTCAACAAAATTTAATGGAAACCAAAGAAGCGGTATGATTACTATGCTTCAACAGTTCAGGGTCATCCTTGCTCCTAAAAATATTTGAAAGGTGATATTTCTTTTAGAAGTAGTTAAAGGTTTAAATCACTAACCCCCTTACCACTACATATTAATCAATTCTTAGCTACAGAAGCAGTTTCCTAAGGTGTCAAAAGGCCTCAGGAAAAGCTATGTGGCACATCTTGTGGCTTTTAACTTCCTTTGGAACTCATATTACCTGTTTAAGTTTGAAGTGTGAAATTAAAAAGAGACTGAGATGGGTCATACTGCAATACTGCATTGTGGGTTAGGTAGCGTGAATACATAATAGAGCCACTAGTAAAGATTGGGAAATTAAAACTGCTTGACCTTGGTGGTTATAAACTTAAAGGTCGCTGCTTTGAAGACAAAAAAGATGTCAATGCTGGATGATGTTGAAGCCATAACTAACTATTCTTTCCTTTTCAGTTTTAGAAGACAATTTCTAACTTGTTTGTTGAGTCTGAATAATCCTTTAGTCAACAGTTTCTAAAAACTGGTGAGCTGACCTTCTTTATGACATTCCACTTTACAAGTTTCAGTTTCTAAGATTCCAAATATGCATTTTGATTGGCTTGTCTATTGCTTATAAATTCTGTTTTCCCATTTATCTTCTTGTCGTCATTTGCTTTGTGTTGTTAGTCCATTACTTCATATAGCATCTTAAATATAGTTAAATTTCTTGCAACTTTGCGTGCAAAGGTAATTCTAGTAGAAAAAGCTAGCTACATCTTTTGTCAAGTTCATGCGATCAGAGGAAGAACACCAACCGGGCCACAACATTGGATGGTAGTGTCAGATGACTTTGGACTGGGAAGTTATAAACTTAAGGAAGTTGGTTCAGGAGGACTAAAGGGTAAAGCCACTTGCTCCCTGATCGGCTCGCCATGGTGTATGTTAGTGCTTCACTGTGCAGAAATCAAACAACAACAATAATAACTACGCCTTAATGCCAAACAAGTTTGGACCAGCTATATGAATTCTTATTGTCCAAGTCACTCCATTTGAGCTTATCTCAGCTAATATTAATTAAAATAAAATGTACTAGAAGTTCTTTATATTTTAGACAGGCATATAAATCTCTAGATTGTAATAATACTAGAGAAATTTGGGAGCATGGATAACTAGGTTGCAGAACACATTGCTTCAAACATGTTCTTGGAAATAATAAAGAGAATCATTCCCCATATCTCTTTTTTTTCCTCTCTTTACACCTTTAACAACTAAATAAGTAATCTCCACCAAATACATAGCTATTGTCTTCATGACAGCCATAATAAAAGCATTATTTTATATGTTTTATTAACTCTCAGGAGTAGCAACCTTGTGACTTGGAAAAGAAACAAGCAATCCACAGACGGATAGATAAAAAGGAAATGAAAATATTTAACATATTGGCATTATAAGAAGCAAGAAAGAAATTCCTTACTTCATGCCATCTTCTGTTGGATTCTAGTCGCGGATAGATATGGGCATAATACAATGTTTGTGAAGTGAGAATAAGTGTTGTCACCGTGTACAGCTGCCGTATATAAAAGTAGAATTTCATTCTGTCAAAGACTTTCATAGAATAATTACCCCAGCATAACAGAGAGCAATGATTTAGACTACAGAAAATTTGTTACCATTGCCATGTAGTACTGGGTTGCAAGCTGTAAGGAAAAACTATCAGTTAGTTTACAGCATCATATTTCTAGATAACATGCAGCACATTCCACTACCTAGAAATTATCACAGAGAAAGCGGACAAGAGAAGAGAGGGGAGAGAGAGACCCAAATCTCTTATTGACTCAGGCAAATTTGAAGCACTTACTACTGCAAAGGGATTACATAAACAACATTTCATTTCTCTTATTGGGAACACAATGAAGATATATAATACCATAAAGAGAGGTTACAACTGCCACAAGATAAACGAGCTTACATTCAAACTTAACCTTAGCCAGTTAGATCCTCCAAAAGTCAAACTAATCAAGGGCGCCTAGTTACTAATGTACAAATACTGAAGTGAAATTTGAGAAAGCAAAATCAATTTTAAAGCGTAACAAAACTTACAACCTCAAATCTGCTTTAATAAGAGTTAGCATGTGAATCCAGAAAAAGTTTTACCATAATTTGCAGTCTATTGCATGAATGCGTGCCCTTTTCAGCTCACCACAAAGCTACATTTATATTGGTAGATCAACTTTGGCTTCCAGAAAACGATGAAATTGAGTAAGCATTTTCATATTTGTTACCAGGATTACAATGAAGAAACTGTTTTTGACCTTTCTATTCCGTTGTGTTAATTTGTTAATTGGTCCAACCTTGTTAAGTTGTCACACAAGCAGTGTTATCAAAGGCGAAAAGCGCAAAAAAGCTCTAAGGCCTGTTGGGGCTTTAAGCGCAAAGCGCAAATAAAGCGTGGGCTTTAATAAAAAAGGCGCAACTGGAGAAAAAGTAAAAATATATATATGTAGTCCAAGACCAATAATTATAAGCATGAATAACACATATGCAGACAAAACATTTAAAAATAATTACGATAAAATAAAATATCATTTGTTTAGTGTCGCCTTTTCATGATTACACTCATCGGCAAGGAAAAATATGCCTTAGAGCCTTGATGCGGCACAGAAGCGCCCCCAAAGCGAGGCGAAGCGCTCAACATGTTTTGAGCCTCACTTCAGGGCTTAAGCGCGCTTTAAACGCACCTTTGACAACACTGCGTAGAAGTTGTATGGACCACTGATTCATCTGCTAATAAAGCTTACGCTGCAAGTTGTGAGGCCGTATTCTATTGAGCCAATGCCTTTACACAAATTAAATCACAAGCATGCCAACAAAAAGAAAGAGCACAATCTGTAGTTTCTTTAGTTCTAACGGATGAACCAGTTAGTGAAACTATTATAATGGAACCACACATTCAACCCTATGCCTCTGTACCAAGAAAAGAAGTCAAATAGTCCAACTTCATTGATACTATGCCGCATTCCTTCAATATCAAATCCCCGATTAATTTAGAAGAAGGAAATCTTTTTCTCGAATTTGTTTAGACATAGAAGTACAGGCCTAAACAGAACGACATACAAGCACAAAGGATGAAGGCACATCTATTTAAGTACGGTAACATCCACGTGAAGCCCATAGTTTCAGTGAAACAATATGGAGAGGCGAAAGTGAGAAGGATGAATTAAGTACTAATGCACTGGATTCTGCAGCCTGGAAGTAAATGAATGACTTACTGTGGCTGGTTCTAGCATGCAACCAAAAAGGTTGAAAAGATCCCTGCAGAGAAAATAAAAAGGCAATTTATATTTAGAACTAGTGTCTGAATATAATTAATGATTGGAAGGTGGTGTATAATTTATTTATTTATTTTAATAATTGTATAACTGTACGAAGAACCTGAAGCACATATAACATTTAATGAACTTACTTGTATTGTACTCTACTAGTTTATCAATGCAAAAAAGGTAAGTAAAACAAAATTTTACCTAAAGGATACACTAAGAAAAAAAGAGACTCTCTACCCAATAGTCATTTTCCCAAAAATTATCACAAAGACCTCTATAGAAAATGAGTATGAAAGGGCATTGGAAACCAACATTTCCAGTTTAACAAAAAAAATTGATCTGCTTGTACAGAATAACAGCTATCAACACATGCACACCCCTTGGAATCTTTCAGGGGAAGAAGGAATATATAGCATGTCAAAGTAGCGGAAGGTCTCCTTTCTTATTGATTTTACCAAAAGGGAAGATAGGAATTAAGCAAAATGCAAAGAGGACTAAATGCTAAAGGAATGGATAATGAACAGAGGATGGAAGCGCATAATATTCATAAATTTCAAATTTGAGAAGAAACTTTCATGGTTTGAAGCCCAGAACTGATGAGAGCATTAATATGCAAAAAAGCAAATTTCAGTTACTAGTATTGATCTAAATAATGAACCACTCAAGACTCCTCAATACAAATACCTACAAGATTTTCTATAACCGAGAAGAGACAGAAAAGACCAAAACTAGCAAGCAGAATTGTGACTAACCATTGGAGAAACTAATGTCTAGAAAAGTCAGTAAGAAACTAATATAAATAAGAAGCTTTGTAGTTTGTACTAATTGAAAGCAATCTTTTACTGATCTGCATCCAAGAAGGCTTCTCAAATATGTTGGGAAAAGATGTTCAAAGTTCATATTGCAGAAGTGTAACACCTGAAAGATGTAGAGATTAAGAGCTCCATAGCATAATATGGCAAAAGTGCATGGCCACTGCAGAAAATATTCTGCCACTCACCCAACAATCCAAGCGAAGAGGAAAAAAAGAGAGAGGCCCTCAGTGGATTTCTGCTTGTAATTAGTAATGATTTGGGGTATCTCCGCAACCCCCCAACTCACAACACTAATCAATCCCAAAGCCAATGAGACTGTAGCCATTGAAGACGAACTTCCCAGGTTTAACATCTCGCCCATAAACAGAGAGTTTTACTCGTGTACCTACACACCACATATGTATATATGTAGTACACTGTCATAAAACTGATACAACTAAATACTATTAACTTTCTAGCTCTAACCGCCAAGAGCAAAATCCTTTATTTTTTTTATATAAAATCCATGAATAAAGAAAAATTAAGAACTGTTTTACTCACTTGTTCCAATTTATATGATAATATTTCCTTATTAAGCCGTTTAAGAAAGAATGACACTTTTTTATATTTGATAAAAATTGTACTTTAAATGATACTGAAATGCTATGAAATGCTTAATACCACAAGTTTCAAAAGTCACATAACCATACAAATGTTATGGCACGTTTAAGACCCCAAGTTTCAAAAGTTTCTTCCCCCATTCCCTTTCGTGCGAATTCCCCAGCTGATACAATATGAGAATTTAAGAAGAACTAAAGCTAAAAACTAAGCTAAGAAAAAGGAAATAACAGCTTTCATTCATAGCCTCTGAAAAATGGCAAACTCGGTACATATAGAGGAAGTAAAACCTAGGGGTCAAAGTAAAATAAAATAACTACTTATAGGACTCAAATATAAAATGTAATAACTGATAGGTAATAACAAGCTCAACTCCCATGTACACTTTCGAAAACCTAGAGTACTACTTCCCACAGCTACTCTATTTCTAAATCGTATTACCAGCAGCAAATTCAAAGCTTTTGGGGCCCTATCTATGACTCCATATATTTTTGACTCTATATATGTGGGCATCTGATATCTATAAGTGTTTCCCTACCCGGTTACAGCATTCCTTTCTATTGCGCCTAAAATCTCTATTTCTGCTAATATTTCATGTGCTTCTATTTATGGTTCTTATGGAGCTACATTGCAACAAATCTTCTTTTTCTACAGCACTACTTCTATATCTTTGTTTCTTTCTTAAAGTTCGTCGACTCAAACTATCTCGCATAAATTGGAACTCAGAAAGTAATAATCTATAATAGCATAAACCTAGGCTAAGAAACAAATTCTTATCAATTAGCGTAAAGTCCGCAATCATGATAGTTTAAAGTAAGAAAATATTAATAAGTACTAGTAATATTTAAGAACCTCTTTATAGTTATTTATATATTCCAATTTAGAAAAAAATCAAGTGATGTATACGCACAGAAGGGAAAGGAATAATATCCATCATTTATTAGAATTGGAGGTGAAAGAAGTTTCATAAATGCACATGTGCTTGGTTTACGACAATACTTAAAAGAATGTAGATATTGAGAATGATAAGCTAAAAAACTTACAGTGGTAATGCTAGTCTAAGAGTACATGTGAACTCACGCAGGCATGTGGCAACGACAATGGGAAGGAGAGTAATGAGTAGTGTGTAAAGAGAGAGAAGAGAGAATGGGTGGTGGTGGTTTTTGCTGGTTTGCTGGAGTTTAGCGTTCGGCGTTATGCTGAGCTTGAGTTGGCGTACGAGAAGGACGTCTTAGGCCATGCTCACCGATTTTAAACATTTTGATGTAACCCTGACCCACATAGTTTAGGGGTCGGGGCTAGGGGACCATTAAGGGATTGGGAGGGGCTCAAGTTTTCTGACTAACGTCCAGCCCAACTTTTGGTCCACCCGGCGGATGAACCGCCTGAGGGGTGATTGACAAGAATTGTCTCTTAATGGATGATCTTTAAATATTATCCTCCATTTTGAATCTATTTAAAAAGTAGGGAAAAGGCCTAAAAATGCCACTTAACTTTCAAAAATGGTCTATCCATATCATCCGTTAAAAAAAATTTCATTTCATGCCACTTCCGTTAAAGAAATGGCCCATCCATGCCATTATTGATTAACGGCAGTGGCATGGATGGGCCAAATAAAAATTAAGTCGTTAGTCAATAATGGCATGGATGGGCCATTTCTTTAACGGCAGTGGCATGGAAATAGCAAATTTTTAACGGATGGTATGGATAAACTATTTCTGAAAGTTGAGTGGGCATTTTTATGTCTTTTCCGTAAAAAGTAACCCCCTCATCTGCGCACGCAATTATTGCTCTTTAGTAATTTTTGTCATATTCTTAAAATTTATGTTATACTAGTCAACTCTCCATGTCAATAAGCAAATAATTTTTAAACACTCACATATGTATTATATTAAATAATATCTTATTTATAATAAAAATAAAATTTATAACTTTCTATATATATTGGGTTGATCTCAAATCCAACCCAATGGAAGTCCTTAAGTTTTGTAAGAATATCTTGCGAAAATTATTGTTATTTTTATGCCTTAATATAGAACAAACAAGTATACAAAATTACTTTTATCACGATGACGTTGCCATGTAACTCCTATAAAAGTTAATAAGTAAAAATATATGTTTTAAAAATGACTAATGTTGAGTCAATGATTTGTAGCAATGAATTAATATATATAGGGAGTTATCATTTGTTTGAATATTTGTAAAAAAAGAAAATGAAAATAATTAAAAATAACTCATTAGAATATATTTTATATTCTATTATTTCATACTTATTGTTTCAAGTTACATACGTTAATAGAAAAATAATTATTGATTATAATATTTTATAATTATTGAGAAAATTCTATACATCTAAAAAATATTTTTTCAAGTCAAAATAATTATTGAGTGTAGCTTTAAATATTATATAAAATTTTAATTAGTTTTAAAATTCTAAATATTAAAAACAATTAACATGGAAGGTATTACAACTATGGTACAAACTTCATATAAGTAAATAATTTATTTAAAATAATTTCTTCATTGGTTTAAAAATTTAAAATATTAGTATTTTCTATATAATTCAAATAAAGAGTTATTTAATAATTAAAATATTAGTTGATTTAAAAAGTTTTAATATTAAGAAAATAATTAAATATAGTGAACAAAATTTGTATCCAAAAAATATAAAATAATTAATAAAGGAGATAAATAAGTATTAAACTAACATTGAATTGGATTTTCTAACTAATTTGTTGGTTGAAAATAGAGGGAATAATTTTTCTTCATTCAAATTCTTTTTATTAGATCATCCCAAGTTTAATAGTTAACTATAATTATATTATTATTCAATAAGAATTCTATGTTCAAAGGATTAAAATATCTTCACGTAGACAATTTTAGTTATTTATAAAACTTTAAATATTAGAAAGATAACTAAACTATAGTGAGTGAAAATATTGACCAACATATGATTATAATAAATTTTTAAATTTAATTATTTTTAACCACTCTATTAGAGTGTAAAATTTAAACCCCACCAACTCGTTTTAAGTAAAATACCCAAATAAAAAAGTGAGTACAACTTTGAGTCATAATGTTAACACGTTTAGGACAAAAAAAATTCTTTTTTTTGTGCGAAAGATAATATTGCATTAAACATATATAAAGTTACTACAGAGAGGGTGATGCCTGTGCATCTATAATGTAGTTGTTTTCTAGTTGTCTATTACAAGTATTAAAACTATCTATTCTAACGTTGTTATCCACCACATTGTCTCCATTGGAAGTAGCCATTTGTTGATCATTGTCATAGATCGCAAAAGTGTTATGTTTCATGTCCTCCTCTTGTTCCTGATGTGTGCATGTTGTCTTGCTAAGATGAGTTGCTCCTGCCTGATCCCTTTACAAAAAGGTGCTGACAAAATTCGGTGGCTCTTCAAAAATAGATGTTTTTCATTAGAATCCATGTTGCATCCCGCCTTTGCTAAACCATCAGCCACCTCATTCCCCTCTCTGTAGGTGTGTGCAATGGTAGCACTTTATGTAGTTGGTCCAAGGGGTACCTGCAATCAGCGAGTATATTAGTATAAATGGTGTTGTCCTTTTTTAACATTGTGAGTACCTCTGATGCATCGATGTTTATTTCCAGCGGAACCAAATTGTATGTGTTTGCCAATTCTAGTCCATGGAATAGGGTTTTTAGTTCTGCCTGGATGATGTTGGCGTTGTCCAAATTACCTGCAAAACCTATAATCTAATTTCCATTTGAGTCGCATATGGTTCCTCCTATAACTGCTTTATGAGTTAACGTTGATACAGCTCCATCTGTATTTCATTTGTAGTAGTTTGATTTAGGGAATATCCATTTGATAGGTTGTATTATAGGGATTTTGGTTGTTGCTACCTTTGTAGCTAAATAGGTAAATTCCAGTGCATCATTAGTAATTTTTTAAGTGATAGGTGTTGTTGTGTATTATTAAAATTGTGATTGTTACTATTAATCCAAATGTGCCACAATGTGTACAAAATAAAAATTTTGCTATTTATACGGTAAGGCATGTTCTTGTACTTTGTATTAATGAGTTTCATTAACCAATTTGATGGATGAGAGTATGTAGTTATATTGTTGATAAAGTTTGATATACCTAAGTCATTCATATATGTTTTATGTTAGGACATTCTAAAAATATTTGATTAATAGTTTCTGGATTCGTATGACATATTTGATATCGGTCGTTTGCTGTAATTCCTATATGATGTAGGTATTTTTTTGTAGGCAACCTGTTATGCATTGTAAGCCAAAGGAATATTTTTACTTTTTTGGCGGTATTTGAATCTTCCAACTCCAATTATAAGTGATTGTATGTTGTTGTAATTTTAAATCCTGTTGTAGTAATTGTGAATATATTGATTGTACAGTAAATTTACCATTGTTTGATAGTCCCCGATAGATAGTGTCCACTTTGTTTGTGTAGATAGGTACATTAATCCTATTGAATTTATTTTTAAAAGAGTTTGTAATGTGAAAAGGTATTTCTGCCCATTTCCAATTATTATGATCTCTGTAAGTGTTAATAGTCATCGTAGTATGTTCTAAAGGTATAGAACCATGTAACAAGGATCTAACTGTGGTGTTTGGAGCAATCCATGCCTCCGTCCAGAAGTTTATTTTTGAATTTGTACCTACTTGCCATTGAATGCCCTTTTGGCATTTTTCCCAACCTAACATAATATTTTTCCAAATATGAGATGAATTTTGTATTATAAGTTTGTTTTTATATTTATGAATAAGAGTGTTTGCCCATAGTTGATTAGGTGAATAAAATGGGCGCCATGCTAATCCTACCAGTAATGCCTTATTTTTTAATTCAAGCTTTTGTATAGCTAGGCCTCCTATATTTTTGGGCATGGTATCTCTTTTCCAATTTACTAAGTGAATCTTTTTTTTTTTTTTTGAGTAGTTCCCCATAGGAAATTGCGAATGTATCGCTCCATTTTGTCAATAATATTTTTAGGAATTGCAATGTATTGCATTATGTGGTTTGCTAAACTAGAAAGTATTGATTTAAAGAGAGTAATTCTTCCTGGTAGTGATAGCAAGTTAGTTTTCCAGCCTGCAAGTCTAGCCTTGAAGTTATCTAATAAAAATTGAAAATATGACTTATTTGGTCTATTTTGAATCATTGGGAAACCTAAGTATTTTCCAAATTGTTTTCCTTCATTCATACTAAAGCAAGATAGGATATTATTTTTTGCTTCAGTAGCGCAGTTATTTGAGAAAAAACTTCTTGATTTTTGGAAGTTAATAGTTTTCCCTGATAGGTTAGTAAAGGTGTTAAGAGTGTCAATGATGGTGTTGCAGCTAGTATCATTTACTTTAGACAGTAGGATAATGTCGTCTGCGAAAAATAGGTGCGATAGTTGAGGTCCATTTTGTAAAATTTGTATGGGTTTCCATAATAGGTAATCTACTGATTGAAATATATTCCTCGATAGGCGTTCCAAGAACATAATAAATATATAAGGAGATAAAGGATCTCCTTGACGTATACCCCTATATGGTTTAAAAAAGTTAGTACGTGATCCATTTATCAATATAAAAATGAAAGACGTTGTAATGCAGGACATGATGAGTGAGATCCATTTGTTCAAGTGTGACTAGAAGAGAACAATGGTCTGAGTAGATATGGGGGAGGTGTTGCACTATTGTTTCAGGGAATATTTGAATCTAATCATAGTTTGCTAGAAGTCTGTCCAAATCTTTCTTGTATAGTATGCCCATTCCTTCGTTTATTTGTCCATGTATATCGGCTACCCTTAAATCCTATGTCTACTAGTTTGCAATAGGTTATACACAATGCAAAGGCATCCACCCTTGTGTTATTGATGGGGTTTCTACCAAAAATTTTATTTTCTCTAATTACCTCATTAAAGACTCCCCCCTACCCCCCCCCCAAACTATCCAAAGACCCTTATAAGAATCGTGAATACATTTTAAATTTTGCCACAGAATATTACGTAATGAAGTTGAGTTATTTGCATAATTGAAGAAAACAACCACTTAATAGGGTTAGGCCATACATGTACCATGCAGTGTACCTCCTGTGTAGTCATTGTAAGATCCTCCACAATTACCAAATCTGCATTCCACAGTAAGACTATATCACCCGACATTCCTTATGCCTCAACCTGTGCCATATGTGAGAAGTTAAAATCATTTTTTAAAATCGCGTGATCATGCATGCGTGTCTCCAGTAGTGCAACTAAGACATGTCTATAATTATCCAGCAGTGATCTAAATTGTCTTCTAAACTCTGCATTGTTCGAACCCCTACAATTCCATACTATTAAATTTATGATAGGTTATGGGTTTGTAGTTTTATCT